GCCGTCGCGAAGAGTCCGGGCAAATAAGGGAGGTCTGTTTTCCCGATTGACTGCCTGCAGAGGAGATGCGCCGACCCGCCGGACGGAAGGGCCCCCGCACCCCCCCGGGAGTGGCCGCCGGGACCGTGGGGTCCCGGCGGCCACTCCCGGGGGGGTGCGGGGGTGCCCCGGTCACCAACCGGCACGACGGTCCACCCCGAGATTATGCGTGACATGATGGGGCAGCATCGCGAACTGGTTAGGAACGCTTGGGCCCCTGTACTGTGCCACGGGCGGCCAGCGGGACAGCCGTTTCTACGGGTCTCCCTGGCCGACGGGTCGATGCAGTCCTCCCGGCATCGGTTCCACGGATGCCACCCCTGGACCGAATCCTTCGCGACAACTTCCACTCGTGCTCTGGTTGTACGCTGGCTGATCCCGAAACGCGCGAGAAGCACTTCACGGGTTTTTCACCATGCGCACGGTGGTAACAAACCAGGCGGGTGTTAGGCACCCTACCACCAGAAGAGCGGATGGAAGCTCCGACATCCCTTAGTCGCTTCTTACGACACCCACGGGAAGAAAAGGGGCGGTGAGTTGTATTCTTTCTCCGTCACCGCACGGATCATGCTTACGTAATATTTGAACGATCCCTAAGTAGACTATAATTAAATTATTATTTGTATGATATAACATTTCTTAATGATAATAAGAATAAAATAATTATTTTAATTATCTGTCAAACTGCCGGTGTTTTTGATTTTAAAATGATATTATGTTGAATTATTTTAAACTTGAAAAGATTTTCGTAACCCTACTATAAGCGAGACCATGATTTCATATAATTTTGTATAATTAAAATTCTCTACTATAAAATTGCCGATTCGATAAATTTATGACTTAATGCGCGTATCTTTTGACAATGAAGAATAATATAATGCGATTCAACTTAAGAATAGGACCGAATGGACGCCATATTGTGACGTCATAGCTGCCAATTCAAACCAAATAGGTAGAGTGAGCAAAAAAGTTTTTATTTAATAAAACTTATTTACTAAAATTAAGTTTGAAAAGTCATCAGTTTTTTTTTTTAATTTTTTTTTACAAGATTGAGAAAAAAAACCCCGATTTTTAATATTAAGACTGTGTGAGAAGAAACATTAATCAGAATCTAGAAGCTCATCAATTCCGCTCATCTCTACATTACTGCCGGAGTAGTTATGAATAATCATGCACTATTACTAGGTCACACACGAACATGCATCCTTTATGAAAAAGAAAGTTTTAAATCGAGTTTATGAACGCAACTTAAAGTGACATTTGGTTAACGATTTAGGTTATCAACCAGTCATAGCCAAAGCTCAATAAATGAAAAAAAATATCAATCAATATTAATTATCAATATTTGTTATTATTTGTTTACAAATGTCTGATTTTTATTCTAGAATTAGCTGATTGCTAGAAAAGGGTTCCAAGATTTTTTTGCGAACCGTACTTTTCATGCGACATTTGACAGATGGAGGTCATTGGCTTTTTTGTTCATATTTGAATCGCACTATAATTATAACTTTCATATGCAGAACTAATTTTAACGAATTTAGAATATGAAACTTCATGAACGCGCATACGTCGAAACGGCCACCATAACGTGCTGCTGCTATAGTAGTTATCTATCAAAATCAGGATGTCATAAAATCGTTTTTTAGTATTCCAGTATTCAATGGTATTAAGTATTATATGGTGTCGGTTCTGACATGATTCTCTAAATATAAACTTATTAGACAACATTATACTATTCTTGTCATTCTCTATACAGAATGAAAAGGAGAGACTTATGTTAAATTTAGATTTAAGTTTAGATAATTATGCCGGAATCAAAAGCAATGTGCTTATACAGCTAATATAAAAAAATGGGTGCGTATACTTATGTAGGCGCGTGAGAAGTTATCCTTCTTTGGCATCGTTTAAAATTAGTTTTTAATTGCATGCAAATAATTAATTACAATAAATTAATAAAAAGTCTGGAAAAGGACACAGTCAATAAAGTTCAGTTTTAATTTGAAAAAATAAATAAATAATCAAAATATTCAATTAAAATCGCTACTGAATATAATTTATTAGAACATATGTGATTTGCACTTGTATGAAACTCAAACACGTATTCCGAATATACAAACTAGAAACATGTGGATAAATATTATAAATATGAATACCTATAACTGTTACTTTATTACAAAAAATAAAGATGTGGTTTTTGGTTCTACTACACCAATGGTCAAGAGATGGCGCTGTAGTCTCCTGAATCGCGCTTTGGTTCCGTTGTTCCAGATTAATAAATACTTTTGATAGGCCTTCACAATGCAGTCGTTAGCACCCACTAATATAAATAGAGATTCTATTTCTATTTTGTTGGTAGATTTTCTTAATGTGCGGTAAAGACTAAAGTAACGCATGAAGTTCGTCGCTAATTTTGTGTTACAGTGATGCGCGCGCATCTTAAAATTACACTCTCATCATTTTTTCATAACGCGCCTAAAGAAGTATAACTTCAAAAAATTGGTGTTACTTCTACTCAAGTATTAAAATTACAACGAAGTTGACTTCACAGTGTTGTTCTAAATCAATCTCTCTCATCATGACTGATTTTCGATGCATTCTGCAGGCGACGGCAGAAATATACATGTCTATCGTGTTTACCGTTACCAAACTATCTGTGTAGGTAATGTTTCCTTTGTGTGAGTAAAACAGTCCGGACTTTCGTGTTGTTCTAGCCATTTTGTGTGAATCATCATCATCATCATCAGCCTATTAATGTCCCCACTGCTGGGGCACAGGCTTTCCCTATGGATGGAATAGGGAGACTGGGCCATGAACCACCACGCGGGCCCAGTGCGGATTGGCGGGTGCTAACGACTGCAGACGCAACCGGGACCAACGGCTTAACGTGCCTTCCGAAGCACGGAGGAACTCGAGATAGAAGATTTTTGGTCACCCATCCAATGACCGACCACTGCGAAAGTTGCTTAACTACAACTATCGCAGCCCAATGCGCTAAACACCTGCGCCATCAAGCTCCTCCTCCTTTTGTGTGAATAGGCCTACACAATAGTTATGAAATAGCAAACATTTGTTCGCTCGGTAAATGGAATGTTCATAATAATTATTCTTCTTTTGTCGTTGCGTTGTTCCCATTGATTGATGATTGATCAAAATAGAAATCATCACTAAGTCCATTCAAACATCGAATGAATTCGATCGCTTGATGATCGATCGATCGATTTACCTCGCGAGCGATACTCAGCTATAGACTACCACGCGAGCGATACTCATCTATAGACTCATCTTAGACTATCTTAGACCGTAGTGTCTATGTTATAGATTTTATTGTACTGACGAAGTGAAAAATATGCTACTGGAGACTTACGACATAATATATCCACGTTTGCACCTCAATAATTAAGGCCATAGACAATCTTGAAATTACCGTCTGCGTAACTGAAGAATTAGTGGAATCGTTAAAATATACGCTATTCCGGTCAAGTGGACGTTAGAATTTTGTTGTAGTGTTGACTACCTCACAGAAGCTTATCGAAAAAGCCAAATCGATACATTTAGTGCCAAACACTCCAAGAAACATTAGAATGCGTCACACCGACATTCTAATGTAAAAACAAAAAGAAGATTTAATTTAATTAAAGATTAGGCTGTATGGGCATTGTTCCCTTTGCCTTCTCTAAAACGGTAGAACTTCAACAAAAAAAAAGTGAATTATCGAACGATCGAATGACAGACATCAGACAAGTTGAGTGAATGGAATGGTTGTTTGACGAAAGAAGAAGGCAGTGCTGCCATATATACTGATTTGTCTGTATTCATACGGAATTTCAATACTTAAACCGGATAATAAGAGCATACGGATTTTTATACGGAATTGACAGGAAAATGCAAACAGTAGTTTATTAATATATATTTAAATAAAATAAAACAATACACATTATTTGATTCTACTGGTATTGACCAGTGATTTGTCTTTTTCAGCAAATTTAGTAAAAATCAGGCTCAGGAAACTGGTAAAGTACAGAAAATGGCTCTAGGGAGTCCACTTGAATATTTTTGTAGCTCATGACAATGACAGAAAGAAAAGGTTTAAAGTAGGTACAGTGATATTAACTATTTTGTTGAGTTATGAAATGAATTATTATCTTAATTTCGTATATACATAATATCATAACTGAAGGCGTTATTCACAGACAAGCGTTCTTACAGCCTAATAATTCATTTAAAATGATTCAATATTTATATTCAAATAAATTAGTTGAAAATCCTTTTTTATTTTATAACTTCAATAAACTAATATTGATAATTAAATAAAACTAGTTTAAACGGGATAATGCACGAAACTTTATTTATTTATTGACGTTTCGTAGCCTTTACAGGCTTCGTCAGTTCGCCTTTACAGTTTGTTTCGCCGGTTCTTCTCAGGAAGGTCTCCCAATTTTGGAACCGGTGGTAGTTTACGGTAGTTAGGGTCAAATAAATTAACTCAAAATTACAAACAAGAATTTTAAATAAAATACTTTATTAAGTAAATTAAATAATAAATTCATACATAGACAATAAAACTTAAAAATCGAACGATGAAATAACCAAACGCTCAATAAAAGTCTTTCGAAGGTAGCTCGACAAATTAAACAAAAGTTTTATTCTGACGACGAAGCCTGTAAAGGCTACGAAACGTCAATAAATAAATAAAGTTTCGTGCATTATCCCGTTTAAACTAGTTTTATTTAATGAGTGATGTGCGTGAAAACCTAAGAAACAAATATGATATTGATAATTATAAAAATTACTAAAGAGTGAATAATATAAAAACTTTTTTTTAAGTTTGTTTTCTGTTCATAACAAATTTTTGGCAAAAAGTATTCTTGAAGTGCTCTTAGTGATATCAATGAAATGTAGGTTCAAATTTTTATAGGGATTTCATACGGGTTTGATTAATAAATTGCCATACGGATTTCATACGGAATTTGGCAATATAAATTAAGGAAACACTGATTTAAAGATCTGGCAACTTTGGAAAAAGGAAATTAAAAAAAAAAAAAGAAATCCTTGGACTGCTTTTCATTGTAATTTTGTGTAAATAAAATTGGGGTGTTTATTTAGTATTAAGTACTTTTAAGTGACTAATTTTTAACAATTATATTTATAATGTCAAATAGTACAATTGAAAGAAAAATAAAGGGATTAGAAGAACGCTTCGAAAATGAAATGCGTATCCACAGAGAGGGTGGCATCCACAATCAAGGTGGACTTGGGGCTTCCAAACCCGGGATCAGTCGAAGACCTAGGCCTCGTGAGTATATTTTCCTAAACATTATGTACTAAAGAAATTGTGTAATACATACTTGATAAATTCTTAATTTAATCTTTATTATCTGCATCTACTTTTATTTACTGAAAATGAATTTTTGTTTTGGATATATAAAATATTTGCATTTCCATCAAATTGATTATACTTTAATATTAACAATATATTTAAAGTTGAATAAATCATAATGTTAAAGAATTTCTCACATTATTTCTCTGGTGAAGGTTATAAAATCAATGACAATATTGGCAGCTACTTGATAATTTTCTATTGGAAACCTAAAATTTTATAGAACTATTACTATTTTATGATGGAGTATTTAATATTATTTAATTATCATTAAAGTTTCACATTCAATAAAGATAATTAATTTGTAAGTATACATAGATTTTTGCTCTACTCTTTCTTTATATGTATAAGATATTAGTAACGTATTTACGTACAATCAATCTCAGGGCTTAAATAAAAAGGCAGACACTAAGGCTCATCTAACAGAATGACAATTGAGTGTTGATCTTTACTTGAGTACAGTTAGAAAGACATCCCTTTCTAAGGCCCGTATTATAGAAAGATTCTCAGTAATTAATTTAGTCTTAAGCATAGTCAGAAAAGGATAATATTATAGATAGCACATAGTGACATCCCTTTCTAACTGTACTTAAGTAAAGATCAACACTTAGGTGTCATTCTGTAATACAAGCCTTACTGTACTCACATAATAATATATAGCTCATAGCCACATCCCTTTCTAACTGAATTAGAAAGAGATCAATGTCTAAGGCCCGTATTATAGAAAGATTCTCAGTAATTAGTCTTAAGCATAGTCAGAAAACGATAATATTAATTATAATATATAGCACATAGCGACATCCCTTTCTAACTGTACTCAAGTAAAGATTAACAATTAGTTGTCAATCTATAATTAGAGCCTTAATGTAAAATAAAACTCACACAACTAAACAAATAGGTAAGTTAATAACGTAACTTCAAATATTTTGGTATAAGTATTAAAAAATGTGAATTGTAATTTCATATTAAAGGTAATAAATAAGCATTATTTTACAAAATATGGTTTATTTATTCTATGTAGAATAGAATGGGTGTGGTGTGGATAAGAGTTATATGTGTTCTTTAAAAGCTTAAAATGTGTAACAACAACCAGGCTAAGAGTGTTAGTTTGAATAATAAATAAATAATAAATATTTCCAACACTCACACCAATTAGCCTAGCCCCAAAGTAAGCACTGTAAGGCTTGTGTTATGGGATGCTAGGGTAACGGATAGAATACATATATTGTACATATATAAGTATATTTATATAGAAAAACATATTAAACATCCATGACTGGAGTACAAATGCTCGTATTCATCACACAAACATCTGCCCCCACCGGGACTCGAACCCGGGACCTCTCGAGTCGGCGACACCATAAAACCCAGCGTACAAACTACTCGGCCACTGAGGTCGTCAATGTAAAGAAACAGTTAATTCTAAAAAAATATTGTCATATTGATTTTTAACTGACATCATGTTAAATTTTAGTTTTGCTTTGCTGATAAATATTCATGAAGCAAATGTGAATGATTCAGTTTTTGTTTTCTGTTAAAATTCTAAGAATTAGTATTTTTATGTATGTCTTAAATGTACTTTGTTACAGCTCCCATTTTTCCCAACAAAGAAATCCCAGCATTTCCACCACGGTCACCGCAAGCTTCGGAGACTGAAAATAGGATGAGAGAAGTATATAAGGTATTTAATCTGAATCTCTTATAATATAAACAACTTGCTTAATCAATCAGAACATTTATTCTCATATAATTCAACAATTAAAGTAATTATTATAGTAAACAAACAGCCTCACTTCAAGTTACAACTAACTGTCAATAAATGTGTTAAAATATAAATTGTGGTGCTCAAGCTATGGCCTGGGGACCGCAATAAATTTTGGTTACATATTTTAATGATCTTTGAGAAAGTAACCAACTTTTAACACCATAAAACATAATGTCTTTTTGATCCTTTAAATATCTCACAATTCACTCACTTGCAATTAAGTTTGCAATATAAAAAAATAATAATTATATAGTTTGGTTACATTTTTCAAGTATTTTTGACGTGACAACGTCTTAAATTAGGTTGCGGCTGGGAGTCACTTATGAAAAAGTGTAACGCTCGGTAACGTTACGATGAGTTTAAGTTTACATGTACAATGTTTTAGTAAACAAAATATATTTCTATAGTTAAAATTTGTGCAATTCTTATTTTCCTTCAATTCCTTGTTCCTATTGTGCAATTTAATTATATTCATATCAATAAATATTCTACCGAGAAAAAGACGTTGTCACGTAAAATCTTCGCCCGTAAAACCGACTTTACAGGCAACCATTTTTTTTTTTTGTAATCAGTTGAAGTCTCCACACATTAATCATTTATCCATCTAAGACATCTCATAGTTTTTTGTCACATAAGGTGTTTTGACTTATTTTATTATCTTTAATAATTTATAAAAATATTGCTTTGTGTTAAAGAAATTTAAATTTTTTTTGTTTAGTTGGTTGCATGATAAGAAGTAGACAGCAAGAATAATAATACATTTTTCTATATAGACTAATCTATCTAAATTAAAAAGCTCTTGCAATGTAATTGCTCTAAAACTTCCACTAGGAATGCAAGTCATGTGGATGGGGTCTTATTAAATCATAATATTTATGAAAGAAAATTAAATTACTTTCTAATGTTACAAAAAGTAATGCTGCAATTGTTAGTTAATAAAATATTAATATTTAAAAACAAAGTCATAGTGATGAAAAAGAAACCTAATCAAACAAAAAGAAATAATGTAATGGGATTTGTAGTCTTTGAGAAATGCATGTCGACAAAGATACATAAACTGATTTCCTGATTCCTTGGTCTCCAGTGCCTAATGCTGGCCACCCGTGGCACAGTACAGGGGCCCTAGTGTTCCCAACCAGTTCGTTAGGCTGCCCCATCATGTCACACATAATCTTGGGGTGGACCGTCGTGCTGGTTGGTGACCGGGGCGTGGGGTCCCGGCGGCCACTTCCGAGGGGGTGCGGGGTTCTTTCCGTCTGGTGGGTCGGTGCATCTCCTCTGCAGTCATTTGGAAAACAAACCTCCCTAATTTGCCCGGACTCTTCGCAACTTACGCGGACTCCACTTTAACGTCAACGCTGTCCACCAGCATCATGAGACAGCACGGCCAGCATTGTTGTTCCAAACGGAGACACAAATAATTCCGGCTACGTGCTTGAAGAGTCCTTCAAAGCGAAAGCCTGTGTATGCCTGTATGTTCGGGCGGATGTTTGTTATCGCCATCTCCGCTGCTTGGAAGATCCTTCCTTCTCCATGCTGGGGTACATGTCGACTCAGGTCCCTGGCCAGAGTCTCCGTGTGCCTCTACAGATCCCATACTGGCGATGTTGCGACAACTCGACTTTTTGAACACCTTAGTCGGGCAGCAGATGACGCGCTGAGACAATTGCCCAAAGCAGTATTGGTGTTTTATGGGGACTTATAATATGAGCTTCATCATACCGAGTTCGATTATAGCGCCATAAAGTTAATCTTCCAATTTGGCTTGATTTAAAGGTTTTCTCATTATTTTTGCGCGGTGGTTAGTATTGGTCGTCGTCCTGAATTTTTTCCATGATCTGGTAATTGCCCTTCTTCGCCGTTACGCCGGATTCAAAACCTCACAGTGAGTCGCGATATATTGAGCTCTCGGGTATAATACTATGTCGATCTTCGAAGGGAAATATTATTTCGTTAAAATTTTTTTTTTAGTAAAATTTTGCTCTTGTCCAGTCAATGTTCTAACAATCATTTTTTCTAATTGACATTTCAACAAATAAAGAAATGAGTTTCAATATCAAAAAGTAATATAAAATTCTTTTTGTTATTCTCGATGCGTCATTTTGCATAATAACTTTTGAAAGATAATAAGTTACTTGATATGGCATTTTAGGCTTTAGTGAAAAAAGTGATATTACTTATTTCAAAACTGGAAAACATTTACTGACCGCGACCGGTACCTTTTGAACAGGTTTCGGGCATGATTTTGTTCGTGTTGGTGTATCTGGGGTATTTAATATCGTTGTTTAAAATATAAAAACATTGCAGGTTAGCGGCAAGTTGAATGTAAACGGAAGGGAGTACAGGTCACTTGTTGACGACCTACAACATTTGGGTGAGCTGGGCAGTGGAACTTGTGGCCATGTTGTTAAAATGTTGCACAAGCCTTCTAATACAGTTATAGCTGTCAAGGTGGGTACATGGAACGCTACTGTATGGGTAGTTGATTTTAAATTTTGATTTGGAAACTTCGTAATTAGCTTAAAAATAGGGTATTATCCAAATTTTTGAAAACTGCTTATATTTAAAGATTTAACAGAAACATAAATTAATGTCTTTTTCTTCATTAATCCAATTAAAGTTGAATTTAATTTTTGAAGGTTATGAATTTACCACTTAAACGCTAGGTTCGACGACGTCTACTGTGTGACATCAACTTTGTGTATGCTATGTAATCATCTGAAGGTCAAATTATTAACTTTTTTCACGTTCGGGATAAAGGACAATGGGCAAAATTGCATGGACACTGCACCCACGTCCGCCACGGCTTAAACTACATTTGTTTGAAAGGTATCATAGTCATGATCATTTGTGCCAAAGCGCATCAAATTCCATCCCGGGAGTCTTTAGTTATTTTAAGTTAAATAGGTACAATTCCATAGGTAAAAGTAACTATAACGAACATAATATTTAAAGATACAAGGACGAGTATATAGAACGGATATATTAATTGACGACCACGGAGGTCGTCAATTAATATATCCGAGTCGAGTGGTTTGTACGCCGGATTTCATGGTGTCGCTGGCTCGAGAGGTCCCGGGTTCAAATCCTGGTGGGGGCAGATGTTTGTGTGCTGAGTACGAGCATTTAAATTGATCCATAGATTTTTTATTAGCTCGTACGATTATAATGACGTACGCGATGATAATCGTGTTCCTATTTCTAAAGCGTGTTAGTTAAATATCAATAAAATAACATGGAGCGCACAAAATGTAAGACATAGGACTGCATACGAGTAGACTAGTTGCAACGGCAACTGCAATATCACATCCTTCAACCCCCATACCCTGTTAGACGTTTTGAGGAGTCTCAGTAAGTGCAAGCAGCAAGCAAGCAGGATAGTCGGTAGGCTTTGTTGTTTAGTATTTTGTATCTGGTTGTACAGTAAGATATGATTCACTCACTTATTGTTGCTAATATTATAAAACGATAGTACTATTGATATTGAATGAATTTCTTTAGCTATTTAAATATCATCATCATCAGCCTATTAATGTCCCCACTGCTGGGGCACAGGCCTTCCCTATGGATGAAATAGGGAGATTGGGCCATGACCCACCACGCGGGCCCAGTGCGGATTGGCGGGTGCTAACGACTGCAGATGCAGCCGGAACCAACGGCTTAACGTGCCTTCCGAAGCACGGAGGAACTCGAGATAGATGTTTTTGGTCACCCATCCAATGACCGACCACTGCGGAAGTTGCTTAACTTCAACGATCGCAACCGAACGCGCTAACCACCTGCGCCATCGAGCTTCTCTATAAGGAGCTATTTAAATATGCCCGTGTGTAACCGGTCCCCATGACTTACACACAAAGGTCGTCTATAAGGACTATGTGCGGAAACCTTAACCCCTAATATAGAACATACACAGGTGTATATCTTTTGACCCCCAGGTTATTTTTTTTTTTGGTGCCATAATAAAAAAGGCTAGTTTTTCATAGATCTATCGATTCATACTAATTACATTGTTGGCGGAGCTGGGTGCGTTTTGCCCATTGTCCTTTATAGTATAATACTTACACAAAATTTTTGATGTTTCGAAACTCTGTAGCACAGAAATCAGGATTAGTAGCGAAGAAATTTGCAAAGTATTATACTATAAATTTATCGCAAACGTAAAAAAAATTAATAATTTGACCTTCAGATGATTACATAGCATACACAAAGTTACCTTCGAAAGACTTTTTGGTGTTCATCGGTGCATCTATCCTGTTGTAACTTGTTTTATTTAATTTTTAATTTAGTTTTTTTACTCAATTACATAACTGAATTAAAAATATCCACTTTTTATGGACTTCATAAACATTAGTAAATAACGTGAGATCGTTTTAAACTTGTCAAATGCCCTATTAGAGTTTTTTCAAATTCATTTTGATTATTATTTTAATTGTACTTACAAGTATATCTCTATTTTTGTTTTTTTCTATCAGCAAATGCGTCGCTCCGGCAACTCTGAAGAAACGAAGCGTATCCTAATGGATTTAGACGTGGTAGTGCGGTCCCATGGGTGCCCTTACATAGTGCGATGCCTCGGCTGTTTCGTCACCGACTCGGACGTCTGGATCTGTATGGAGCTGATGGCATCCTGCTTCGACAAACTGCTGAAGCGAGTGGGGGCGCCCATACCGGAAGCTATACTGGGGAAGGTCACGGTTGCGGTGAGTTTTGTCGTCATTATCGCACAAGGATTTTTGAAGAGAAACTTGTTAGTTATGAAATTTTCGTAGCCTTAAGCTGCAAGACAGCGCCATCTCTTCGCATTGTAGGTAACCCACAATGTCAAATGAATACTTTTTCAAGTATTAAACATTTGAAAGAAGAAATAGTAATTATAGTTATGTTTTTATTTTGTTTTAAGCATTTAACTGCTAGATGTTTAATTCTAAAGAAAAGTTTTACTAGAAAAAAATCCTCGCCGACCAGGCAGCGGACGGGACTCGAACCCGCACCCTTCGCAATCCGGGCGAATGCACTGATCAATTATGCTACCACGGCCCTGATGGCTTCGTCGAAATTTTACTAGCCTTAAGCTGCAAGGCAGCGCCATCTCTTCGCATTGTAGGTAACCCACAATGTCAAATGAATACTTTTTCAAGTATTAAACATTTGAAAGAAGAGAAACTTTTTTCTTTTCGGACGAGGTGTGAATGGAAAAATCCTTTGGAACAGTGAAACGGAAATGAAATATATATGAGTATGTGTGTGGGATACGTGCATGACCACAATTCGCTTTAGTCACAATTGGACATTCAAACTCGCTGCATGTGCACTCCATATAACAATACTGCGTATTTGTGTGTTATAAAGATAAAACAATGCCTTCGATGCTTTTATAGGGAACATAAATATTTCAAAATCAAATAACAAATTCCAAACACTTATGATTCGTAAAACTGTAAAATCATTTTTTTCTCCAAAATCACGGTTTGTCGTGAATGTTATTTACGTATTCTCCATTTTGTTGTCAAGAAAAGGACAGCAATACAGCTCAGCTGTGCGGACTCGGAAGCGGAGTCGCCATTTCGCTCGCTCTGCTTTGAAACGTACAGTTCTGTCTCCCTCGCTCAATAGGGTATTTGACAGTGTTAAAAATAAAGTGCCAATTGTAAGCATCTGTGTTTAGAATAAATATTGGGAGAGGTTTTTGCTATTTATACAAAAAAAAACATAATTTTACTAAAAACTAACGAAAAAGATAATAGTTTTCTTATCTATTGTCACTGGACCCAAAACGCTTGGGATTGGCGGAGCCTAAAATGGCGTCACAAGCAAGTAACTTCCGGTTAAAGTGACATTACATTGTATCGTTTGACGTTTTAATAACAGTCGTGTGACGTCACACACTAGTAAGACGCCATATTGTCCAGAGAAACGTTTTCGCGGCAACTTGAAAATGGAGTTTTTGATTCGGTTATTTTTACTGAAATACACAACAGAATGATGAATACTTTTCACGGACTCCATAACAATAGTCAATATCGTGAGATCGTTTCCTAAAACTTGTCAAATACCCTATTGAATGTTATTTACAGACGTGTGCGTGTGTGAGAGTTGCTTATGTAGTTGAGTCGGTTCATATTTTATTTGATGCTAGTATGAGCGTACCGTATCTTCTCTTTTTGTTTTAATCTAAGCTTTAAATTTATAAATAGATAATAGTATGTTTCCCTTGTCTTTCACAGACGGTGAAAGCGTTATCTTACCTAAAGGACGAACACGGGGTTATCCACCGCGATGTTAAGCCTAGCAATATTTTACTGGACGAGTGCGGTAATGTGAAGCTCTGCGACTTCGGCATCAGCGGGCGACTGGTCGACTCTAAAGCGAAGACGAGGAGCGCCGGGTGCGCAGCTTATATGGCCGTGAGTATCTTACAGCACCAATCTAGTGATTGTCCAAGTTATATATATATATATGAGAGTATGAAGAGAATGTGTAACTTTTGTGTCATCATCATCATCATCAGCCTATTAATGTCCCCACTGCACAGGCACAGGCCTTCTCTATGGATGGAATATGGAGTTTGGGCCATGACCCACCACGCCCATTGCGGATTGGCGGGTGCTAACGGTGCAGATGCAGGGACCAATGGCTTAACGTGCCTTCCGAAGTACGGAGGAGCTCGAGATAGTAAATTTTTGGTCATCCATCCAATGACCGACCACTGCGAAAGTGGCTTAACTTCAACGATCGCAGCCGAACGCACTAACCATTTGTGCCATCGAGCTCTTCTAAGTTTTGTGTAAAATTTATATATTTTCCTATTGGATTTACTTGATGGTGTTGCACTCTCGTTGGTCTGCCGCCCCTCGCAGCGATATTGTCATGTGTACTGATACAGCCGGATCTCATCGACTCGCCAGAGCCTCTTATGATTGATGTGTATTTATCAATTCTATTGTGTTGCACCTTCTATGGTCTGCCACCCCCAAGCAGCTGTATTAGCCTCTATATTGATGCAGCTGGAAACACATGGTACCAACGTGGCCCAACGGGCATTTGGTCTCTGGGCATCTCTCTCATAAACTGACCACTGGGGTCTTACGATTGTTGTGTATTTATCTATTTCATAGTGTTCACTCCCCATGCTCTGCCACCTCCTAGCTATATAAGCCTCTTTATCGCGGCAGCCGCAACGCATCTACCCGCCGGACCCGACGCGGCCCGACTACGACATCCCGCGGACGTCTGGTCTCTGCGTCTCGCTCGTAGAACTGTTAGGATTGCTGTGTATTTAACTATGACATGGTGTTGTACCCTCTATGGTCTGCCACCCTCCCGCAGCTATAGTTTCCTCTATATTGATACAGCTGGAGCGTATCGACCCGCCGGACCCGACGCGGCCCGACTACGTCATCGCGCGGACGTGTGGTTTCTTTGCATCTGGCTCGTAGAACTGTTAGGATTGCTGTGTATTTAACCATGACTTGGTGTTGTACCCTCTATGGACTGCCGCCCATCCATGCCATCAATATAGAGGAAAATATAGCTGCGGGAATATTTTCCTCTATATTGATGCATCCGAAGCGTATTGTCCCGCCCGGACCCGACTCGGCCCGACTATGACATACGCGCATAGACGTCTGTGGTCTCTGGGCACCACTTTCGTAAAACTATTGTGACTGTTGTGTATATCTATATATATATATTGTTAATAAATAAACTCAAAATTACAAACAAGAATTTTAAATTAAATACTTTATTAAGTAAATTAAATAATAAATTCATACATAGACAATAAAATTTTAAAAATCTTCCAATGAAATAACCGAACGCTCAATATAAGTCTTTCGAAGGTAGCTCGACAATTTTAAATAAAAAATCATTATTCTGACGATGCAGACCTAAAAAGGCTGCGAAACGTCAATAAATAAATAGTTTCGTGCATTAACCCGTAAAAACTAGTTTTATTTAATGAGTGATGTGCTTGAAAACCTAAGAAACAAATATATATATATTGTTGCACCATCGTTGGTCTACCACCCCCTCTGAGCTATATCGTGTGTATTGATGTAGCCAGAGCAAACCGACCCGCCAGACCCTCATAAGATTGCTGTATATTTATCTATTTCATGGTATTGCATCGTCTATGGTCTGTCCTTGCCACCTCACCTCTATATTGTTGCACCCGGAACGCATCGTCCCGCCGGACCCGACGCAGCCCGACTACGACATACGGGCGGACGTCTGGTCACTGGGCATCTCGCTCGTGGAACTATTATGACTGTTGTGTCACTATAAATATATATGTATTGTTGCACCATCATTGGTCTACCACCCCCTCAGAGCTACATCATCGTGTGTATTGATGTAGCCAGAGCACATTGACCCGCCAGACCCTCTTATGATTGCTGTTTATTTATCTTTTACATGGTATTGCATTGTTTATGATCTGTCATTTCACCTCACCTCTATTATGCTGCAACCGGAACGAATCGACCCGACGCAGCCCGACTACGACATACGCGCGGACGTCTGGTCACTGGGCATCTCGCTCGTGTACCTATTATGACTGTTGTATCACTATTTATATATATATTGTTACACCATCATTAGTCTACCACCTCCTCAGAGCTACATCATCGTGTGTATTGATGTAGCCAGAGCACATTGACCCGCCAGACCCTCTTATGATTGCTGTTTATTTATTTATTACATGGTATTGCATTGTTTATGATCTGTCCTGTCACCTCACCTCTATATTGCTGCAGCCGGAACGAATCGACCCGCCAGACCCGACGCGGCCCGACTACGACATACGCGCGGACGTCTGGTCTTTGGGCATTTCGCTCGTGGAATTGGCGACTGGAGTCTTCCCCTACAGAGACTGTCAGAACGACTTCGAAGTATTAACCAGGGTGAGTTAGTTTAATAATATGTCCTATGTCCTTCCACGGGACTCAAACAATCGATATATTTGCGAACCGATGGCGTAGCTTTTCGACATTCACAAGTGCTTGTAACAGCCTAGACTGAATAAACGATATTGTTTTTTTTTTTAATTTTGGATATATATCAAATTTATCATGATCAATTCACCAGTTTAATCGTGAAAACAGACACTTTCTCTTCCGTCCTTTGCCATTAAATTTATTTATTTATTTATGACTGCACTCTGTCCATAATTTTCGTAGCAATTTGATTGGGGAAGTGGCATGGTATAAAAGTTTTTTTAATGATATTTAATAGTAATTTTTCTTTGAGTATTTTACTTATATAAAAAGCTAGTGAAATACCCTATCATAGATGTTACTCTAAAACAAATTTTCTGTACAGGTAATAGCAGATGATCCGCCACAGTTACCAGACACAACCGATTTCTCGCCAGAATTTAAATCATTTGTGTCACAATGGTGAGTGAACATGAACATGTTATAGATTGTTTGAGTATCAGCTTCCTACTTCGAAGTTCCCTATTTAATTTCAGAATTAAGAATTTACATTGTTTTGCTCAATAACCCATTTCCTTCCAGCCTCACAAAGAACTATCGACACAGGCCGAAATACGTGAAACTACTTGAGCATCCGTTCGTAGTGAACTCTTCGCGGAACAACGTATCAGTGGGCGCGTGGTACGCCTCGTTACCGATGCCAGAGCAACCGCGACCTCAGCCCACTCAGACTTTGAGGATAGAAGGAGGGATAGCTACCCCACCAATAGAAGCCCCGGTTACACCGCAGCCAGTGAGGAATTTCGTTACCAGTGCGCATTATTGGACGCCCGAACAGGCAACTCCGACACCTGGCAGGTATGATATTTCCTATAGGGAACTAGTATTGGGGGAAGATAACTACATTGCCCACATAGCAGTTATAGCAGCCGCGACCTCAGTCCACTCAGAGTTTAAGGATGGAATGGGGGATAGCTACCACGCCCATAGAAGCCCCGGTTACACCATTTCGTTACCAGTGCGCATTATTCTACGCCCGAACAGGTAACTCAGACACCTGGCAGGTATGATATTTCTTATAGGGAACTAGTATTGGGGGAAGATAAGTACATTGCTTACATAGCAGTTATAGCAACTGCGACCTCAGCCCACTCAGCGTGTGAGGATAGAAGGGGGGATAGCTACCCCACCAATAGAAGCTCCGGTTACTCCGCAGCCAGTGAGGAATTTCGTTACCAGTGCGCATTATTGGACGCCCGAACAGGCAACTCCGACACCTGGCAGGTATGATATTTCCTGTAGGGAATTAGTATTTGGGGAAGATAGATAACTACTTTGCCCACATAGCAGTTATAGCAACTGCGACCTCAGCCCACTCAGCGTTTGAGGATAGAAGGGGGAATAGCTACCCCGCCCATAGAAGCCCCGGTTACACCATTTCATACCAGTGCGCATTATTGTACGCCCGAACAGGCAACTCCGACACCTGGCAGGTTTGGTATTTCCTATAGAGTACTAGTATTGGGGGAAGAAAACTACATTGCCCACATAGCAGTTATAGCAGCCGCGACCTCAGTCCACTCAGTGTATTGAGGCTACAAGGGGGGATAGCTATGGGCGGGGCCCATGGAAGCCCCGGTTACACCGCAGCCAGTGAGGAATTTCGTTACCAGTGCGCGTAGATCTTTGAGGGGGAGGGGGGTAGCTAATCAGGTCTTTTAGACATGCATGTCATCGACTCTAAATGTTAATCATGTTTCAATTTAGATGAATTTTATTTTAGGTTGAACCAAACGATAATATAATCTACTACATATTTCAAAACTTTCACCCATTGTTTGTAAGCATCAACGTTACTAATTATAGATTAATAATCTGAAATAAATGTTATTATAAATATACGAGGTATCAGGTATACCTACAGTTGATATTAGAAGATTTTAAACTATTTATTGTTATATAAAAAATTGCTGAGTGCGCGCCGCCGCGATCTTTATGGAAACGTGAACTGTTGCAAATTTGTAACTATTGACACGATTATAAAAAAAATGACTTTGCGAGATGTACGCTTGTTCCGTACACGAGGAATACACTTTCAAAGAGAGTAATTCAATGAACAGAGACAAAACATGAAGCACTTGACTAATATAAGCTCTTTCTTCGTTTATTCATATAGGGGTTAGTGTTCTTTTTACAAGCTTTTATTTAATTTGCAATGTATGATTGTTCGGGTGGAATCTTACAACTCAATTTTAAGGCACTTGCCCTTAACTGATTGAGCTGAAATTTGGTACGTTCAGTTCGGATGACAATGCATGATTAACAGTGTGACGTCATTCTAAATCCAACATGGCGACATACCGAAAATGGCGGACCAATCATTTTTAATGCATTCCTACAATATGGGTATCAAATTAAAGGGCTTGCTGAGAGTAACTCGAAAAAATGTGACGTCACTCTGAATCCAATATGGCGGACTTCCAAAACTTGAAAATCAATTTTGAAACAGATATTTTTAACCGATTGAGCTAAAATTTTACATACACGTTCAATTTGAATGACAATGCATGGTTAACTGTGTGACTTCATTCTAAATCCAACATGGCGTCATATCCAAAATGGCGGACCAATCATTTTTAATGCATTCCTACAAGTTTCTTTTTTTATTCTTTTTAGCGCATTTAAATAAAAACTTCTATTTAAAAAGGTTTTTTTACCTTCATTTTTTATATGTAATCGATTTTAGAGGAGCTCGAAGGCGCAGGTGGTTAGCACGTTCGGCTGCGATAGTTAAATTTGAGCAACTTGCGCATTGGATGGGTGACTATACTATTTGTATCTCGTGCTTCGGAAAGCACGTAATGCCGTTGGTCCCGGCTGCATCTGCAGTCGTTAGCATCTGCCAATTCGCACTGAGCCCGCGTGGTGAGTCATGGCCCTATCTCCCTATTCCATCCATAGGGAATGCCTGTGCCCAGCAGTGGGGATAATAATATGCTGATGATAATGAATCGATTTTAATATGTTTTTGTATTGAATCAGGGCGTTGTGGGCAGCGAGTGCGGGGTCAGGTGGCAGCAGTTCGCAGCCGGCCAGTCTGGAGGCAGACTTATCCTCACACTCGCCTTACCCAAGGAGAAGGTAACACCAACCATCATTCTATCATGCTTGCGTAGAGGAATTTATCGGTTACTAGCTGTGCCCCGAGGTGTTACCCGCGGTTTATTAGGGATATTTTCCCCCAGTAAAACGTAGCCTATGTGTTAATCCAGGGTGTCAGCTAACTCCACACCAAATTTTATTAAAATCGCTTCAGCCGTTTAGACGTGAAAAAGTAACGAACATACACACTCACACACTCACAAACTTTCGCCTTTATTATATTAGTGTGATAAGCACAGTGCCTTTCATCAACAATTTTATAGATAACGGGTTGCATACAAAATCAAAGCTAAAAACTGTCCGCGCATGATTAAACTTATGCAGCGACATTCAATTCCCAATGAACAAAGATAATTGTTTTAAAACAGTTTAAGTTGAACCTAATAACTACTATCTCACAAAAGAATACCACTGATAGCTCAATTAAGCCACTAGACGCAGTCGCCGATCGCTGGCGACAGTGGCTTAGTGGTGGCTACTCGAACGCTGAGTTTGCGCCGATACTATACAAAATGTATAAAAAAACTCGACTGCAGCTTGTGGCCGCATCTAGTGGCTCAATGTGCTGTAAAATATGAAAACGCAGTAAAACAAGAGACAATAAACGATCTCTGATCAGATAATTTTTCGTGGGGTTATGGGGGTTTCCACAAGGGGTTACAGTCCAATGTTTAATAGGCTGATTATGTGATGATGATGTAAATAACTTGTTACCAGAACGTTCGACACGTGCGCGTCGCCACCGCCACCAGTAAGACGGGTATCAGCAGATAGCAGGTGGAGGCCCTCACCGCAGGTATAAATATCAACATTCATCAATATTAACTTGGTCTTAAGCTAGGTCTCCAGCGCTTGTTTTGCCCTTTTTTTATTACACAGGCAAAACCTTTTCACAGACGTTGCCCTTAAGGGACACTTCGACGAACGGACCTCACACCTAGCCTCTCGCAAGTTTCACGGGTGCGAAACGGAGAAGTCGTTAAGCAGCTTAGATTAAAACAAAAAGGGTATATACGGTACGCTCTTACTTGCATCAAACAAAAACTGATCCCACGGCAGCGCGAACGGGATGGCGAGTTCCGCGTCACTGCATTACCGACCCGAGCGAAACAGCACGTTAAGTTTCAACGGCAGCGCGAACGAGACGGCGAGATCCGCGTCACTGCACTACCGACCAATCACGCGACCAGTACTCGACGTCACTACCGAATAAGATTCAAAACAAACAGCATTTTTTATGAAAAAATATATTTTATAGTACTTACGAATGAAAAGTGATGCTGTGGGTGTTACTTTTAGTTCTTGAGCAATTTGAGCACTTTTTAAAAACACACTTAGGCATTGTTTTATAATATAAACACAAAATATTAGCAATTTTCTTTTTGGCGTTCACATGTACGTCGTTTGCATGTCAAGTTGTGACTAAAGCGATTAGGGTCGTGGACCACAATTTATGCGGATCACTTTTGTGAGGCTAGTGCCGTATCTACCCTTTTTGTTTTAATCTAAGATTCTATCCGCAAAAAAACGCTGCGAATACCCTCTACGCTATTAAGTGCGGAACCGCGAGATCCCCGTGGCGGGACTTCACCGCGGTTCCACACCCAACAGTCTCCCGGCCTAGCCGGGGCTCCACGGCAGGGATCACCCGGGGTGTTTCGGGTGATCCCGCAGCGTGTGTTTTGCCCTACACAATCAACAAAAACATATCGACGTTCAAAAAAATCGTCTACACCAAACTTTGTTTCACTACACATATTTGTTTGTATCAAAAAAGGTTTTGCTTTCCGATTCCGATGGAAAACACGTACACAAATCTCCCACACGCGGGTCGAGGGTAGGGTATTGTTTCGTCGGTCATTTTTTGAACAACTCACTAGCGGGGGCTTCGTTCGAAACCGACGCTTCGAGTACAATATTTACTCTGACGTTTCAATTATGACATTAAATGTACGAAACTTTTTAAAATTTTACATTTGTTGCAATTGGGTTGTAGCTTTTGAACGCAGTCCTGTGTATTTTGTGTACGACAGCCACGTGAGCAATAGACGGCGTGTATAGAGAAACATGTTTCAGAAACAAAGTTTTGTGTATGCGTTTTTGTTAAATGTTTTCAACAAACTGATGCTGGAGACTCGGCTTTATATGTATAGATATAGATGCGGACATATGGATAGATGAACTGCCTCGTTGTACCGAATGCACCATTGACGTGCACCATCATTGGTGCAGATGAAACTGATTAGTTTCGTTTGCACGATTAATCGGGCACAACCACATTACCTATAAATAATATCATCTGCACCATTGTGACGATACTTATACTATATATGCGGCTATTTCTCTTTGCATGTTATTATTTAATTTCACCATTTTAAAATAATTGTAAAACTGGCGTAAATTTTCTTAATAACATTAAGTGAAACTTATGCCACACAATTGAGGCTTTTGAGTTTATTTGCTTATCGGTATTCATTTATTTTTTCAACATTCATATTTTATGACGAGAAAAGAATGGGGAAGGAATAATTACTATTCATATTAATGAGTCAAAGGTGCAACGGCGATGAACCGTTATTAAAAACGCAAACAGATACATTAATGCATTCCATCAAAATGAAATAATTTAAAAGAACATCACTACATCTTTTACCCTTGTTACACAACCTGTATTGTTGTGAACACTGTTAATTGATTAACGGAATAATATACAAATACAAGAAATGCTAGTAAGTACAATATAACTGTTTTGAATAGTCCAACATTGGTGTTGATTCAGGCATCATTCACAAAACCTAAAATAAAATTTGACAATAGTGTATATGGTTGTCATTCTCTATACAGAATAACTGCTTTGAAAATGTCCAACATTGGTGTCAATTCAGGCATTATTCACTAAACTTAAAATTAAATTTGACAACAGTGTATCGTTGTCATTCTCTATACAGAATAACTGCTTTGAAAATATCCAACATTGGTGTCGATACAGGCAACATTCACTTAACCTAAAATAAATTTTGACAACAGTGTATCATTGTCATTCTCTATACAGAATGAAAAGTGCAAATACAAAACTAAATTTAACACCACTCTCTCCTTTAAAGGAATTTAATGAATCATGACATAATCGAAACCATTATTTTCTTACAACCAGTTCAAGACTTATTCTATCAGCTACGGAGGAGAACTACAAAACATTGAAAGAAATTATAAGCTATATCGTTCAGTGCTGTCAAAACATGTCAATTAAGAATCTTTGATTAAATCAGAGTGTGAAATTTCAGAGTTCTGGCAACACCAGTCCCATAGTGTTGCAACGTTTCTACCACCAAAGTCAGCAGCGACGGTCCCGCGCCGATCTCCACGCGGCACCGCGACACAGAAGGTAATTCACTTCGGGGGATCATACAGTTTCTGCATGATTAGGTAACAAACAGACGAACACATAAAAACTTTCGACCTTTCGACGACCTCCGTGACCGAGTGGTTTGTACGCCGGGTTTCAAGGTGTCGCCGAGTCGAGAAATCCCGGGTTCGAATCCCGGTGGGGGCAGATGTTTGTGTAATGAATAAGAGCATTTGTACTCCAGTCATGGATGTTTAATTGTATTTCTATAAAAATATACTTACATATGTATCAGTATATGTATTGTATCCGTTACCCTAGTATTCCATAACACAAGCCTACAGTGCTTACTTTGGGGCTAGGCTAATTTTTGTGAGTGTTGGATTTTTATTTATTCTCATTTATATTATTAGTAGGATATTAAAAAGAAAGTTAAAAAAAAATAACTATAATTGCTATTTCTTCTTTCAAATGTTAAATACTTGTAAAAGTATTCATTTGACATTGTGGGTTACCTATAATGCGAAGAGATGGCGCTACCTTGCAGTCCATGAGGGCTGCGGTAGCATAATAGGTCATTCGCCCGGATTGCGAAGGGTGCGGGTTCGAGTCCCGTCTGCTGCCTGGTCCACGTGTAATTTTTTCTAGTTATATTTTCTTTAGATTTAAACACGAAGCAGTTACATGCTTTAAAAAATAAAAATTATAACTAAAAAGAAAGTTGTTAAAAAAAAATATTAAGCTAACTTTTTTACCTTGAGAAATGTAAATAAAATCCGTATGTACTTGTGACAGTTTGAGCCGTGAACACAGTACGGGACGGTCGCCGGAACCTCCGCCCAGAACGAGTCGACAGCATCCGATGTTGGGACACGACGCTCCACATTCAATAGGTAAGTACTATTATATCGCGAAACAAATTGTATGATCACATATTTCCTCCAAATTCATAAAGAAAAAATATAAAAATATTTTGAAACAGATTTAAAGAAACACACACACAAAACACACTTAATTTTAATTAAATAATATCTGATTAAGCTTAATGTAATGCATGCTGAGTTCGCCTATAAGTGGTTACACATTATATCATTGAATGTAAAATTGTCTTAAATAAGATGTATTGATGTAGTAACTGTTGGTGAACCAATAAAGAGAGAAAAAAGAAATTATAACTCTTATTACAATGTGAAGAGGAGAGCTAGTGCGATGGAAAATGAAGGCTAAGATTTCGGACGCAATGGGTTTATTGACACTATTTTAAAGTAATACACCAAATTATATTATAGTAGATGACAGACAAAGACTCATCATCATCATCAGCCTATTAATGTCCCCACTGCTGGGGCACAGGCCTTCCCTATGGATGGAATAGGGAGATTGGGCCATGACCCACCACGCGGGCCCAGTGCGGATTGGTGGGTGCTAACGACTGCAGATGCAGCCGGGACCAACGGCTTAACATGCCTTCCGAAGCACGAGATAGAAGATTTTTGGTCACCCATACAATGACCGACTACTGCGAAAGTTGCTTAACTTCAACGATCGCAGCCGAACGCGCTAACCACTTGCGCCATCGAGCTCCTCTAAGACTACGAGAACACAATAACAATTTTGATACCAAAAATCATGATTATATCAATACTTCAAAAGACTATAAAAACTAAATCTATCAAAAAAGGTCGGCAACACAATGTGATAAAGTTTAAGAGCGTAAAATGTAAGTGTATCGCGCTTTGTAAAGAACGTTTTGGTCTCGGCTAAATAAGCAACCACTGATCCCCATTTAAAGCCATTTAGTGAAAGTAATGGAAAACTATAACAATTTAAACTGATTGTAAACATGCTGTCGAGTGACATTCTCTGATTCAATCTAGAAAAATAAAATTAACAAGTCATTACTTTGTACTGTTAAGTCGTGTGACGTCACCTGCCTGTAAGACGCCATATTCGCTAGAAAAATGTTTCCGAGGCATATTTGAAAAGAGAATTTTCATTTTTTTTGCTGATATACGCAACAGAATTATAATTATCTACTTTTTATGGAGTCATTTCATCATACTTTAATAAATAACGTATGAACGTTTTAAACAAAATTGCCAAACAGCTTATTGGGGTTCATACATAAAGCATGTCACACGTTAGGGGGGAGAGTGGGAGTCGACAGAAGTCGCGTGACAAGGGGTGGGAAGGGTCCTAAGTTTCGTGACGTCACATTTTAAAATCTCATACCCCCTCAAGCGGCAAACGGCCGACTGTCAGCAATTTATATTACTATTGTACTATAATCAAAAAACTAAAATATTAAGAACTCTTTCTTACCTGTAAGGTTTTTAATTGGTTTTCTTGGCAAATTTTCGGAACTGCTGTTTTTTATTTTACATATTATGTGACGTAAAATAGAAATATATGTGACGTCACTTTATGGTAGGGGCGGGTCACAAATGTGACCAACTGTGACAAGGACGGGGGAGGGATAAAAAAATCACGAAATTAGTGTGGCGTACTATATAGTACGCCACACTAATTTCGTGATTTTTTACAACATCATCCATATGGATGACACCGTGTAGTAACAATTTGTTTATACGTTTGTGTTCAGTAGCCAATGGTAGTGCAGAACTGGAGCCGCCCGCTTTACACGAGCGCCTACATCCCGCCTCGCCGCTACTCATTACCAACGACAAGTAAGTCTTCCATTTTCAGATTATTTATCAACGATATTAAATACCCGAGATACACCACGTGCACTCAAAACGTGTCCCAATCAAGAAGCGCTTGAGTGAACTACACTCAAGCACTTCTTGGTTCACAGTCACGCGCGGACCGTTGAAAAGTCAAGATGCCGTCTGCATACAGCAATAAATCGTAAAAATTTACGAGTTTTCATTTCGAACTGTCTGTCATAGCTCTTTGACGCATTAAAACGCATGCGTAAAGACCTTATACAGTTTGCATTAAAGGTGAATTTCAATGTTTAAGTAATGCCTTATATTGTTTTTGACAACGCGAACATTTTACAGAGCTCCGTGGATCGTCCAATGTACCTTTTGGACAGGTTTCGCCCACGATTATGTTCTTGTTGTTGTATCTAGGGTATTTAATATCGTTGTTATTTATTATTTGGAATACCAACAGTTAATTTAAAACAGAAAATATAGCAACAGTAGTAACAAATAGCCAATTATATTGGCGGCGAATTGACGACCTCCGAGGCCGAGTGGTTTGTACGCCGGGTTTCATGGCTGTCGCCTACTCGAGAGGTCCCGGGTTTGAATCCCGGTGGGGGCAGATGTTTGTGTGATGAATACGAACATTTGTACTCCAGTCATGGATGTTTAATATGTATTTCTATATAAATATACTTATATATTGTACAGTATATGTATTCTATCCGTTACCCTAGCATTCCATAACACAAGCCTTATAGTGCTTACTTTGGGGCTAGGCTAATTGGTGCGAGTGTCGGAAATATTTATTTATTTATTATAGGCCCTCGCAAATAACAACAGATTAGATTATTAAGGACGCACTATTTAAACTCATGCATACAACAATATTTGCTACAATACAGAGTATAATAATAATAAAAAAAACAATATCAACATTTGTCAAAACATAGAAATAATACGCCTCGCCGAAGCCTCGCTAGTGCCAAAAGATCTATGTTGGCCTGGTTTGAAGGTTTATTGTAATTATTACAAACACGTGAGAGTTATGCATTCTGCCGATAGTTAGTAGAAACTGCAGGGATATATAAAATTGGGTTCGATTGAGGGGCTTTATATTTATTAAAAAAGCACAGATTTTTATTAATGACGCAGTCACCCCACCCTAAAACTGTTAAATTGAATATAGATGATGACGGGGTAGATTAAATGAAATTGTATTTAGTCCGTCGGATTATCAAAAAATTGTAGAAGAGAGTTAACTGTCGTTTTCTGTAGGGTTACTTCCTCAGATGAAAGTAGTATGTGCCATTCCTCAAGGTTTGATATATCTACATTGATTCAGGAGGTGAGGCGCAAAGATAACAGTGATAAAAAGAGTACATTATTTATTTTCTTTGTTTTCACGCACGCGCTCATATCATTTAATGAAAAATCTTTTGAAAGAGAATAAAGTGTGATTTATATGTTTTATTACTTAAGCATATATATATAGGATAGCGGAGGGTGCGGGTTCGAGTCCCATCTGCTGCCTTGTCCGCGTGGAATATTTTCTAGTAAACATTTCTTTTAAGTGTGATTTATTTATATTTACATAATTTTTGAATTAAGGATCTTTTACTAGCTACGTGGTCGCAAAATATTTCCTGTGACTACGAAATGTCTAGAAGTGAGTTTTAAGTGTTGTATAACAATGTATTTCTACAGAAGTTGCGAAGGGCGCAGTCAAAGTTTAACTCGCGCGGAATTGCGCAACGGATTCCGTGCGGAACCGCCTCCACCCAGGCTTCACCACGACGACCAGGGTCAGTCCACACCGCACACTCGTCCACACTCGCCACACACTCTACTCAACACTCGTAACACTCGCGCGCACACTCGTAACACACTCGCACACTCTCGCCACGCCCCGAACAAAAGGAGCGGGCCAACGCAATCAGATAACAGCATAGTCGCTAGCCTTATTAGAAAATATGAAATAAATACCAAAGGGTAGCAAACGTACATATTTATGAGACAAATTGTGATAATTTATGTCTAGTCAGCAGTTGAAGAGTCTTCTTCTCTTGCGGGGATTGCACATGCAGACCAGCTGCTTTAATTTGGGTTACCCATTTCCTTCAAATATGGTCAGAAGTCTGAACACTCGCAAGCAATGTAATGTCCAATTCACTGAAGCGTTAAAATGTCAAGTTAAAATATTTAATGTGTTTTCGTTTTTCTGACAATTACATTAAAATTTTGCTAACAAGGAATATCAATCAGAGAGAACGTAATCAAGTCAAAGAAATGTCAAGTGATTCCGAAATGTTAACAGTACACATAATAATTATTTCTTTTGCTAAAATTTGTTTTTCATACTGCGATACAGAAATAACGGACAACAGAGATTATAACTCGATTAATAGCGAAACGATGTTTTCCTCCCGCGTAAACTGAAGCAGCTGTTATGTCTCCATTGACATATTAATAAACAGCACCTATTGCGTTGTACTTCTTCGGACGTCTGTACCATATTCAAGTTTAGGTGAGTCCCAAATAGGGGTGGGCGTTTTTAGAATAACGATGCGCGATAACGATGCCAGGTTTGGATGCGCACATCCGATATGCCATCCGACTGACTGGATGCCGATGCCATCTAGTTTTTGTCAACGTTACTATAGCAACAGTGCCATAAACTTCTCTGCGCGCGTGGAGATGTTGCTAGCGGTGAACAAATATGTCATAGAAATGTCAAAATGCTATGGATAAATTGTAGTTAAAATTTATGCCACCGGCACAGACACACACACAGCACAGAGCACAGACAGTTTGTGGCACTGGACTGCGTTCAAAACCTACGCTCTGAGTGGATTTTTTTAGATAATAATTTTGCCAGCATTCAATATTTTCAGTTACTGTACCGAAAAGTAAATAAATGGTTTTCGATTACATTTTCAAGGCATGATTCATGGAATCGAAGAGACACCCACACAAAATACGCATCTGTCGTAATTCTTATCGCATCATATCCTGTGATACTACGATACTGACATTCACTTGGCATGCCGGCATCGATGTGCGCATCCACAACAATTCAATCCAGAACAATTCACAAATATCTAAAAACGCGCATCTCTAGTCCCAAATTAAAGCACGTAACTGTACCTAATATTTTATTGAGCACCGAATCGACAAAGCCATCCCTGCATTGACCTCTATAGATCATGAGTTTTTTTTTACAGTTATTATATAATTAGATAGCTTTATAAGACATATTCCTCAATGCAATGGGGTCCTTTCTACACCACCGTAAATTAAGTTTTACACGATTTTATATGTTATTGCAATTACAACTTATCGTAAGGAGAAAAAATATATTACAGCTCTAAGAAAATGTCGAAATCTGCTTCGATTTCAGCTTTGGACGCTTAGAATAGTCCAGGTTCGGGTTCGAATCCCGAAGATATAGTATGGAAAGATTTGATCAGTTCCTATGTTCTAAAAGAAAAATGTGCTCAAACTTAATTATAGTAAAATATTATCATAATTTAAGATAAATTTGCCAATATTCACCTACCGACGACAATAATTGTAGAGAAATATTAATTTCTGTGTTAAAAATTTAAAGTGTTTTTGTGTGGGTCGATACTGGCATTGACTATCATTTATAACATGATATTTGTCAAAAATTATGAGAAACTTTTAGTCTTGACTGATTCTGTTAAGTGCACTTTAAGAATAGCTCAACACTTCGTCATGTAAATATGACATGACAATATAGTTTCAACCTAAATCGTTGTACGTAGAGTTTATAATTGTATGACTCAAGAGGGCAGCCAGCCTAGCAAGTGAGATTATTCGGGGACGCTGCGCTTGCCACTTCACACGGCCTGTGGAACGATTATGGGGATACTGGCACATATATACAAATATATATATAGTTTATGTAATGATATATGTATTTATAAAATCTTGTATGAGTATGTTATTGATTAGCGATAATATTATACAAACAAAAAATATCGGACAAAAATTATCAGTGGAAATTAGTTGTATGTTTTGAATTATTAATAATTATCATACAGCCTTGTCTCAAGCCTGATCAGAATAATAAAATCTATTATTTTAGGCCTTCAGTGATTTGTTATAATAAAAAATAGGGCCAAATATGTCATAGTTTGAAGGAGTTTAGAAATAATATTGTTTATTCCGAAATACTTACGCAAATATGTTTTTGTGTACATTTATTCTTCACTTATTTTGTAAAACGGAACATTTTGCTTTTGAAACAGACATGAAGTCAATTTGATACTTTTAAATATTTGATTATTTCACGAAAATTGTATGGAGAATAATAAACACGTAATAATTAATAAAAAAAAACGTAACGAGGTCAATCATCGATAGATTTTACTCCTCACATTTTTCTCATACCGGGCCCCTTATATATGCAAATCGATTCTTAAGGAGTAAACTCCAATATTGTTAAGTTACGGGCTAGTGCGAAATATTTATACACGTTACGGGCAGTTTCTTAGCCATGTCCTTAAAAAAAAGGAGATTATAACGGTCAATATTTTAGATTCCCCTTGTCTGTACTAAATCTCGACAGTAGATAGGGGATAACCACCAAGAAAGTGGCGCTAAGTTCAGCCTTCAAATCTAAATTAAAACGATATAAAGTCAATATTGGTTATTTAGTCATTTTACAATATAGATTTTATGTAATATACTTTAATACAATAAGAAAGTATAATCTACAACAATATGGTGCAATATGAACAAATTTAAGAATAATTAAAACAAAAAATATACTATAACAATGAACCTAAAACTAAAAACCTTAAAAAATAAAATATAATAACTAAAATACATTATTAAAAGGAGTCCCTTTAGGCAAGGTTCCGAAGATACTGGCAGCAGTATACAGTTATTTAGTTGTATTAAATGTCTTTTTTTAAATCAGTATAGAGAATACACTTGCAGAATATATTGGAGCTGCAATCGAGATGCTTAGTTGCAGTTTAAAAGGTGTTAACCTGATAATGCAGCTGAGCTGAAGCTATTCAAAGTACCTTCTTTTCTAAAAAAATTAAAAAACCTGTTTGCTGCATGTAGTTTCAAATCATAATAACTATATCGTTTTCGGTTATATCAAAATGAAATATAAAATCTAGTTCAAAATCATTAGATTTTATAAATCGGCTTTTGTTCTAATATAGTACAGTACGTTAGTTAGTATACAACCTAATCGATCATGTTATCATATATTAACAGCTTCTGTTTGATTGAAGTTTAATAATAATATACGTTGTTTTTTTACAAGTTGCTCATGTAACCACGATCGTTCCACAACACCCATCACCCGTATCATACTCATGTGTTATTTGTTTCACATTTCCACCACCACTGTAAATATATTAGCAATGGTTGAGACCATAGACACAATGGGAGCTTAGACGCGATCCTGTGTGCTTCGCAGATACTCTGCTTCGCTCAACGGAACACGAACCGCGTTAAAAAAAAACTGTAGATACTTTTCGCTGTAAATTAATACTGTGTAAGCTAGAACTAACTCTATATGTGCAGAAACGGCGTATCAACTGTCGCAACGTTTGCAATATTTCGCACTTATTACAATCAGACAAGGTACATATTTCAATGTTGCACACTTGGTACGCCGTCCCATGCTTCGGAACTCTTCAAGAATTGTTGTTGTATTCCAGACTGTTCGTGAACATAATCTGTGTACATTTTGTTATGTTTTGGCGACACATTTGATCAACACTCATATTCATTACTATACCGCTCCATTCATTGTATTAGTTCGTGGTATTTATACGTTTGTGTTTGCGTTTGTTTGTCGAATGTTTGCGCCAACTCATTACCTATGCCGCTTTGCCGCTGTTCCTCACGCGTCCCACATCGCCTGCCCATTGTCGCCTTGTCACATGCCTTGCTACACCAAATACGACTTTAAAGCGTAGTTGTCAGGGTTGTTTATAGAGTTGTACGGTTAAGGGGTATATATTTAGCCTGATGCTACTAGAAACATTGTATTCAACCGTATTTGCTTGTTCTAAGTCTTTACATTGTTATTTATAGAAAGAAAAAAATTTTTTTGCCGCGTTTAGAAGCTTATATTAAGCCGGGAGTAGGTAATATAGAGGATGTGGGTGAGTTACAGTAGCCAGGTGTGACCGGGTCCTTCATCACCATGCCATCACACGGTGTCGCTTCGCTGTCTCCCCTAACACTAATGGCCGGGCATATGACTCGATCGTGTCGGCTCCTCGGTACATATCGACTCGCTCCCGTTCTAAACAGATGGGCCGGTAGTAAAAAATTAATCTGTTTATATAAATAAGTCTTATTCTTATATTGTAAGTCTTTCTAAGTCAATTTGAAAAGCCAGGAGTCTTTTTCTTTATTGTTTATTTATTTGTGTTTTTTTTAAGTTATACGAGCAAAGAAAAGCACAGCACTGCAAAGCACCGAGATAGCCGCTATTGTTAAATTCAATTGTTGCTGAAGAAAAACTTATGCACGCTCTGATGGTTATTTTGGCAATTGCGCGTCCAAGAAGTTCCATATGCTAAATTTGAAAGAAATAATTTTTGCACTTCATTGTAGTTAGAGACACGCATTTAATATTAAAATTTATCGAATCGGTAATTTAAGGGTGTAAAATTATTTTTTTATAAATCATTATTTTATTATGGTTCCCAAAACAGTTACAAGTTTATAACAATATAATATAATATAAAAACACCGACCATTTGACTCCATTTTTAGAGTATTAGGTAAATTAATTTACTTTTATTATTATCATTAAGAACTGTTATTAACACACCACATAACTCGGTATTTGTTTTTTAAGATATTCGAAATCTTAATAAATATCAATAAGTTATATCATATAGGATCGCTAAGTGTAAGAAAACATTTATTTGTTCGTTTTATTCAATCTTTTTAATCAGCTACTTCTTGCAATATTGGTTAAAATTCCAAAAAAAAATAGAATACCCTGATGAGACTAACATTTTATTTTGATTTTTTTCGTTAAAACGGCCATCATAGCGTGCCGCGACTATAGCGTATTAAAATCAAATCACCAAAGAGGTTTTTACTGCAATAATTTTAGAAGAAGCAATACGAAAAAGTTTAAAAACGCGCGGGTGTCACAAAAAAAGGATATTAAAAAAAGTTTGCTACGCGCGCGGGAAATTTCGAATTCGGAACCGAGGAGCCCGCACCTGAGCGAGTTCCTACTCGCGGGCAGCGCGCGTGCGTGTGCGTGTGCGTGTGAGGGAAGGGTGGTAGAGTGCGTACGGTAGCGGTGCGCGTGTGTGCGTGCAGGCTGGCTGCACTCGCTGGCCGGGCTGGTGAAGCGCCGCCTGTCGCCCTACGTCAAGTGGCATCACCTTGCAGCGCGCCGCGACTCACTCAACCACCACGAACACCATTCTACGGCCCACCACGCGCAACTCAGGTCAGTGACGGACACCAAAATGCGCCCTCAGAACAATAACATAGACATATTAACGAAAAGATTTCTAAACAATTAGTGGCGTTTCAGCTGGTTGCTGGCTGATTTGACATTAGATCGCTTTTTGATTCGATATCGTGAACGTTACCAAGATAGTATCATCCAATTTGACGTTTCCATAGCAGTACGCATGCTGTTTATAATATTTTTCATAGCAACATGTATTTGTCCCTTTTCTAGTGTACATGTTACTATTTTATTATTTTAACAAAAATTGATAACTGTATGAGTCGCCTTTATGAGTGTAATTTAAACTATTTGTATGCTAAAGTTCTTGTTCTGAGAGTGCGGCCAACGAAAGAATGCGATTCTGATAATGCGTGTTTGTTCCTTAAGTTAACAGAATATATAGAAAAAAAGAGGTCCAATAACAAACTCTAATAAGGTATTTGACAATGTTAAAAATAAAGAGCCATTTGTTGGTATCTGTGTTTAGAATGAATATTGGCAGGGGTTTTTACTATTTTTACAAAAAAATATTCATAATTTTACAAAAAACTAATGAAAAAGATAATAGTTTTATTATGTATTGTCACGTGACCCAAAACGCTTGAGATTGACAGAGCCTAAAATGACGTCACACGAAAGTAAACTTCCTGTTATAATGACATTACATTGTATCGTTTGACGTTTTAATAACAGTCGTGTGACGTCACACACTACTAAGACGCCATATTGTCCAGAGAAACGTTTTCGCGGCAACTTGAAAATGGAGTTTTTGATTTGGTTATTTTTACTGAAATACACAACAGAATGATAATATCTTTTTACGGACTCCATAAACATTAGTCAATAACGTGACATCGTTTTCTAAAACTTGTCGAATGCCCTATTTTGCCGCCTTAAGGAACAGAAGCAACCCGACAGGATCGTATTCTTTCGATGGTTACGCTGCAGGTGTTTTACCTTACTTATTTTCTTTATAGTATAGTGCAATGCACCTCAGGTCAGTGACGTTCGATTGATGTTTCACCCAACCTCTTTTAGTTTAGTGTTCAGATGACGCGATTCACGTTTCGTACTCATAGAGGTATAAGAATAGAGTGGGGAAGGCGACTGTAAAAGTGTCCGTCTAGTAGAAAGAGAAAGAAGATGAGAGACCGCTAGCTATCTCTCTCTCTTGTGACGCATGCGCAGTCGTCTGTCCAATAGTTGGTCCAAGCATCACATCGAAATAGTAAGATACTTACAGTTGCCAATGCGCATGCGCGATTAGAGAGAGAAAGCTAGAAGTCTCTCATCTTCTTTCTCTTTCTATTAGAGGGACATTTCTACTTGGAGTATAGTCTATAACTCCCCTACTCTATTCTTATACCTCTATGTTCGTACTTCATTGCACGATCATAAGGCTGAGTAAGAACAATCCATTCAGAACACGGATCAATGAACGAGTGAATCGCGTCATCTGAATAGGCGCTATATTTATATATATAGTGGGATACACCGCAGGTCAGTGGCCTACACAAAATGATTTACTCTACTTATAGCTCTCTTATACGCAAGATATAGCTTCTTTTTGTTATAACAAAACTCTATTGATAGTAAGTGATCACCGTCGCCCATAAACATCTGCGACACCAGGAATATCACTTTGAGGCGAGAATCTCGTTGGCGCAATGGGTAGCGCATTCGATCTGCGCTCGTGAAACTAATACAAAATTTGATGGATGATCGAAAATGTATTATGTAGCTCCTTCAAACTTCGGAAGGCACGTTGAGCCGTTGGTCTCTTGTCACATCCTTAGACAGTATTCACCCCACATGGTGAAATGATAGCCCATTCTTCCCATTCCTTCATGGACAGGATTCCTTTTTACCTCAGTAGTGGGGATATTAGTAGGTTGGAAACGATAGATTTGTCTACATATGAGGAACTCCACTCAGGTGGGGCACCAGCGAGAGTTGGAGCGTGCCCGCCTCTCCGCTGCCTCCCCGCGCGCCCCCGCCGAGACCCACAGACTAGCGCGCCCTGCGACTCCACCTAGCGCCATTCGTCACATGCCATCCCACTGTAGCTTCTTAGCTATCATATGAAGCCTCCAATCGTGACGCAATCGCCTGCAGTCATGACGCGTTAGTTTTGAGTCATGACGCATTCGCCTGCAGTCATGTCGCATTAAATTTGAGTCATGACGCATACGCCCGCAACTGTGTGAATAATCATTGTTATCGTGTTTGAACTGCATGGTGAGACCTAAGGAGTGTTATACATGTAACCGGGTCAGCAGTTATGCCTCAACAAAGTTTTGTTTGTCTGGTTCGCGCGATCAATTTTTATCGCATTTGAATACGTATTTTTTTCCCAGTATGATGACTTAAACCCACAAAATATTATTAATAATGCCAATTAGGCATCGGTGACCGATTTATCTAGATTCAACCCATCTTTGAATCAAATACCTAGCCGTAGTATATTAAAGCTTTAGGTCAGTTTTACCGTTCAAGGAAATAAAAACTGTCGACTCGCTTATATTTATAGCGCGCTTAACAGCGAATCATATTGTAATGTATGATGTGTGGCGTGTTCATCCGCCATTTCATTAACTAACACGACAATACGGAAAAGATGCGACAGGCAATCATATTGTGAAGAGAACCAAACGAGTGCAGAGTGAGCTTCGCGAAATCATGAGATTCGTTCATCGGGGGAAATGGCGCTATATTGAAAACCCCATCGTTTTAGGAAAAAGTATATTTAATAGAAATATAATTGATTCGGTGCACGAGTTAAATTAAAACACCAACAGAAGCCATACATAATTATGTATATGTCATCTCGCCATATTACAAAATAAGTTAGCACAGGCACCCGAGGTTTTTTATACGCTACGTTTAGCGATGATTATATTATTAATTTGAGTCCTAGTTCTAAGGCTAATTTATCTGAAGATTCTCTTGTATTTTATACAATCACAAAGAGTTCATAAGTATGCATTTAACTATTAGACGAGTAAAACTTTCATCAGATTTCTATTTAATTTGGGAATAAAGCTTTGTGTTACGTGTTATTTTCCTACAAATTTATGGTTGAAAAGATTCTAGTTGAAGAGTATGTTCAGGTTTATTAGCCTTTAAACGATTAGGGTACATCGCTCATCACTCAGTGTAAATACTTTGAGTGCACAGCGAACAGTTTGCCGTTTCAATAAGGTCTTTGATTCGTGTGGTTAGAATACATTTTGCAACGAATTCATCTAGTTCATGGATATTCAATTTATAGCTGATATATAGATATCAGCTATAACATAGCGAATGTTAATCCGTGTCACAATGACCTAGCTACGAAGGCAGCAAAAGGACGGATTCTTTCAGGTTATTATCATACTATTTGACGTTGATAGACAAATGAAAAGTATTTGCTAATAAAAACACTATTACTCCTCATTTACACCAAAGTATAATACATGTATATAACAAATTTTATACAATGTCTTCATTTGTTGTTCACACTTATATACATGTATAAAACATGTAGTATACAATACTTGCATCAAATTTGTTGGACACACAAAGTATGTGAAGTAAATAAGTGATTTATAAAAGATACTCGTTGTCTATGCAGCGCAAACGAAAGAATGTCACAACAATTATTCTACAAGTTTTGTGTAAAACTAGTATAAGATTTGTTTCTTGGTGTAAACGAGAGGTTAGTAACGTAAGTAAAAAAAAGTTCTTTCATTTTGTAAGGAAAAACCTTGTTTAAATAATGGTAACGATAGCGCCCTGTTCAAATGATAATAAAAAAAGGGTATAACTTTGTTATAACAATTTAACAGACCGCAATCGATACATTCATTGGTTGTTCTAACATGATCTTATTCAACTAGATTCACACGAATTTAAACCTTAAACCTTGAAACTTGGCATCGGATTTCGCTTCCGTCGCACTTGGCGATGTCATCTCCAAACCACTTACAACTAGCATAAACCAACTTATTGTCAAGAAGCTTCGTACGTACTTTAATGTTTATTTTTTATTCAAACCACAATTTATAGAAGTTGCGGTTCAAATTCGGAGGATAAATGTTATTGAAATAGCGCCGTCTGTTGGACCTGAATCTGGATCCAGCCATATAGTTCATTATCTCAGCCGATTTAGATCAAAGTTAGAAAGTACTTGGTATGTTTATATATAAATACATTACTACATATATACATAGTTTCCAGGGTCTAAGAATAGTTAGTAACTTCTTGGGTTTCCTTGTTTAATAAAATTTCCAATCTGACATTTATTCAAAGAAAATTCTAGTAAATTCTTCTCTGGATTTAAACTAGCAGTTAAATGCTTAAAAAGTAAAAATATAACTGATATTTATTTGTTAAAACTCATACATATATTTGTTAACATATTATAAAGTAACACATACATAAATATATATTAACATATTATGTATAGATTTTTTTAAATCCCAGTTGGTTTGTGTTGATTGTAACTTAATACACAAATATGTTTTAGGCATTGAATGAGATGTTAATTAGGTACATTACAGGGGTACAATTTTTGTGTTATACATAAAACTATATGTTTTTTTCTTAGTTTCGGAGCTGTGAATATGAATGAATATTTAGAGAATATATGTTGCAAAAAACATTTTCTGTAGAGTGCATGTAGTAATTTTAATAATTCAATATTAAGTATATTAATATTTTTTTAAAGTCTTCAGGATGTCTTGTATTTTTTTTACTAGCTAATGGATTTTTCAATCTTATTGTTATTTTTCGGATTCAGAAACCTGCAAAAAATCATGGTTCATTTGAATACACAGCTGCGTTTTAAACGTGTCATTTAATCATTAATTTTATCGCCATTTTTATAGTCATATGTGCCCCAAAAACGTGTAAATATGCCGTGCAGTATTACTTACACTAGAATGTAATGTCGACCAATGTAACTACTATCTTACCGACAAGTGTTGAAAGTTTGGCTTTAAATATTAGCGTGTTATAGTGTTTGTTGACCAAAACACCGCTTAATCAACTTAGTACAGTAACCACAAAAGTTTGGGTAATTGTGACATGTTGGCTCTTCGTAAACTTGCCAATAGTCTGTCCTCATCACGCTTTATAAGGTATGAAAAGGACAGACTGATGTCCAAGTTTGCAAATAGCAAACACGAATAGCCAAGTGAAGTGTAGGCGTCAAATTTGGACGTTTTTTATTCCATTTTGCAAACGTCCTATGCTGTTTAGTCCTTTTTAGAACTAAATTTTAATAAATCAGTCTTGTTAAATCGAAGAAGATGTGCTATTAAAGTTGAAAGACCGAAAGTCATCTCAATATTTTACCGACTATCGCAAGTAAGATCAATGGTCCAGTAGTCAAAAATTGCTGGCTACCTTTTACCGATTTAATTTTGAGAAAAATCATATAAAACTCTCTTACTTACCATTTTGAAATTTTGCTGGTTAAAGAAAACTAGTTTTAACCTACCTAAAACCTAAGAAACAAATATTTTGCTGGTTACTGTACGGTGCATATCGTTAGCTGACTTAATTCAAATAATTGTCACTGTTAATAAGGTTCAGATTGTACAATAAAATTCTTTACACAAAATGTTTTCTATATAAAATCATCATAGCGATAAGCTCATAATAGCGATTGAAAAACACTAGCTCGACGACGTTCTCACTTTGGCTATCTATTTTATGACTTACTGTTAACCGACGTGAACAAAATAAGGTATCGCAAAAAAGCAAATAATGATTTTTGACGTTGTATTCGTTAAATTGCCTTTTTGTTATAAAAAATGTTTTATTATCACACCGTACAGTAAGAACGCTGCGCCTTCGCTGTAGATACGTGTAGATCTCACAAAATAAGAGTTTGTATAACATAAAACAAAACGGATTTTTCAGAGCCTTTGAGTCTTTGTAACCTATAGTCAGCGTCATTCGTTACGTTCAAAGTATCCAGTACAAGCGAAAATGCACCTTACGCACTGAGCAGAAAAAAATATTAATGCATCACTCGACATGAGAAACAAAAGTAGTGATGTAACATCTTATTAGAAGCGATTAAAATTATGTTACCCTCTGCGTTGGATGAAAAAAGTTTGTCATTAAAACGTAAAACGATACAATGTTATGTCACTGACCGGAAGTTTACTAGCGTGTGACGTCATTTTAGTCTTCGCCAATCCCAGGCGTTTTCGGTCACGCTCGAGTTATTTCAGAAAAATATCACTGCCATGTAGAAACACCTCGTTGTCTTATTGCAATTTGTTATTTGAATGGTTCAAACTAAGAGTTGTTGATAGAGGTTGAAAGAAAAAATCATTAATTTATATTTTCAAAAAACGCACACACAATTAAGTCATTTCGTTTCTTTTTATGTCATAATCTGAAGTAAGTAAAGTTTTTATATATACTGTAACGTTTGTACGCTACAGTATCGAGAGCGTTCTCGTACATGTCTCTCAAACAGATTATCATATTACGCTTGAGTAAACTATAGTTCATGTATTCAATCACTAAGGTGGGCAAAAATGTTAGTACGACTTGAATACAGGGTAATTTATACCTTAATTTAAAGATGATACGTAGCAAAATGTAATGACGTGCTTCGCATGATATCGCTATGTGCAAGCGTAGCATTTTGTTGTATACCTGCAAAACATGTGAATTATAAATATTTTTGCAAATTTCAAGTTGACGAGTAATTAAGAATAAGTATTTACACCATATATTGTAGAAAATTCTATAAAGTTAGTAAGTGTAATGACTGCGGACAAGCGAGCAGTTTTACCTCCCACTTCCATCCCCATTTACGATCCCCTTAACAGTTCGTTGTATTATAGTAATATAAGTTATTTACGGGATTTTTACCATGTACCATGTTTTTAGCGAGTTTCCGATATTTCGGCACTGTTGCAAGCGCCATGATCACGGAGTAACTGAAGTAATTTAAACCCGTCTGAAATTGAAATTTCAATCGTGAGGACGGGCCTAAATTGTCGAGTATCTGGAATCCCGTGGTTCGTACCCAAAAAAAACCGAAATAATCAAAAAAAGTGCCGTCTCGCGATCCGTTACTGTAAGCATGTGCGGTCGCAGCCTGAAATTTTGGAGGGGGTCACTCACTACACTAATAAAAAATAGGTATCTGGAATAAAATAAACATTATTATAATTTGATCTTAGATTGGGGGGGGGGGGGGGTCCACAGGGGACATGACCCATGAATGAAAATTTGGAGGGGGTCACTCACTACACTAATAAAAAATAGGTATCTGGAATAAAATAAACATTATTATAATTTGATCTTAGATTGGGGGGGGGGGGGGGTCATGTCCCCTGTGGACCCCCCCCCCCTTCGGACCGCGCCTGACTGTAAGTGTTGTGTGTCGATAATAGTTTAGTAGACTTCGTTGGAGGGTAGACTGATATGTCTGCCAATAATAGCCTACCCGCAATTACTAAGTTACTCCGTGATCATGGCGCTTGCAGCAGTGCCGAAATATCGGAAAATCGGTAAAAACAAGGTACATGGTAACAATCCCGTAAACAACTTATATTACTATTATGTTAGTGACCATGGAAGTTTAAAACAACATAATTTGTTGAATGTTTCAATAATCGTATAAACACTGAAAATAAATAGTGGGCTCAATGTTTATTACACAATAGTATACATAGTATTATCTGTGCTAATTGAATATATTAAGTTGATCAATATGATATTTTGATTCACATGTTTTACAGAAATCCTGTCACCTAGTTAAATTTCACTGGGAGAATGTATTGAGTGGCGAATATTCCTATATAATGATATAGTGCAAAGAAACTTTAAATTGTAAATATCTTGTATTATATTGATAAGTGACGACAAATGCAATACTTAAAAAAAGGTAAACAAGTTTATTTTATAGACAATGATGAATAGATTTTTAATTTTTAATACAAATGATTGTAATTA